AATGTGGATATGGCAACCCTCATTATATTTTAATGTTGCATAAAACCCGAAAAAAGTTTATAAATTCCGCTCGCACTGTCCAAGTTTTGCAATAAAAGTCATGTCGCTCTCTGTCAGTTACATATGTATTTGTACAAGTATTTATCGTACTCGCCTCCCCAGCCCACCAGGCAACAACAACAATAGCAATTGCTGTAACAGCAGTTGTTGTTATTGTTGTTTATATATTCAAAGCTCTCGCGTATAACACAATCAATAAGCTTAAATCACGCTCAACTCGGCGAAAAAAGAGCTGAAAATGCTAATTCGAATTCGAGCTCGAATTGTAATTGGAATTGGAACAGTGGCAATGAGGAATGCAACGAAAGCGGAGAACTGGAAGTGTTTATTTATTATTCGACTGCGCTTGACTTTCCAATTAGAATCGCGCGCGAGAGGGGGAAAGAAAGAGCGCATGAGTTTGGTTGGGTATTCGAATATTATTATAGAGCATACCAGGCACTAATGAACTGTCTGAAATATACATATTTATATGTTAAGAATTCCAATACAATATTTATAATGAAATTCACTTTAATCTCTGATTGGAAGTGTAAATAGAATCAATTGTGATGATGAATAACAAGTTTATTGTTTTGCAAGTAATTTGTTCAAATTGGAATCAGAAAAGCAAATTGGAATGTTCAATGGAATCCGGCTGGTAGTATTAAATTACTTTGAAGTCTAATTTTTCTTGCATAAAATTGTCTTAAAATATCTTGCCTGTCGGCAAGGGTATTTACTCGTCGTCATCTCTATAAATAGTTTCTTCAATTTTTCATTTCAAGATCATGTTAACTTTTGTTCAGCCTATAAACAAAAAGTTGCCAAGAAAAAAGGGAATAAGGCAAAAGAAAAAAAAAAACAAATTCAGTCGAATCTTATGTCACAGCAATTTCCACAGAGTTAAGAGGAAATGAAATCTAAATTGTTGACCAAATAAACGCGACGATAAAGGCAAAGTGGGCAAAGGAGGAGAGAGGCGAGCTGGGCGAGGCTGTCTGCCACAAATGCCGCTGCCTCGAGCCGTGGCACGTGTTATGGGCAATGGAATTTCACTCTCAATATGCGATATAATATATATAGGCAAGCCGGTCGAGGTTGGCTGCCCAGCAAATTGAGTGTGCGTGTGTGTGTGGGTGTGTCTGGGCGATACTTAAACGATTGCTAGTTAGATATATGCATTGTCTTATTGGACTCAACTTGGAACATATTCGCAGCGTTTCACGTCACGATTTTAAGGTCAGTGGGGTAGGGGAATGGGTGGAATGGAATGGGAACTACATTAAAGAGACCCCCTCCATATGAGCCCACGTCTTAATTAAAGACAAATATTAATAATTGTTGGCATTTTTAAATGTGAATCATGCCTGCATTTGGCTTTGCTTCTCCTCAATCTAATCAGTGCTCACCTTTTTGTTTCTTTATTCTTTTTTTTGGGTGACTCGACATTTGCAGAGATAAGATATCAATATCAATATCGATGCCTGCGCAGCGTTTCAAATATGCGCCGCGTGTACAATAATGTTCATTCAGTAATCGCCTAGAATATAACATCTCTCTCTCTCTCTCTCTATATATATATATATATATTCCATCACTATATATACTATTTGCATAATCAGCTTTTGCGCATCGTTGCAAGCTGCAGGCCTGAAGCCAATGCACTTTGTGACTCTCTTGTTGTTGTTGTTGTTGCTGCTGCTGTTGCAACTAAACAACAATTTTTAGTTTCACATTTTAATCTGCCACACGCAAGTTACACACGGAGATATTCATGTGCTTACAATACATTTATATCTCTATGATTTATTATCTATTATGCGAGCACATACTAAAGACAGAGCAAGGTCACGTTTTCAAAAGTCTCTCACAGCTATAGATAGCAGAGGCAGTTGCAACATTGAGATACATTCATAAAAATAAATACAGCTGTAGATACAGCTACAATAGTTGATAGACAGCAACAGCAACGTATGTATATATAGGTACATACATAAATAGATACAGATTCGGATGAAGATATCGATTTCGATATTAATATTCACACAGATTCAGATATATTTACATAGAGACTGTATGGGATAAAGTTGAGATGCAGATATGAAGACAGATACAGCTGCAGTAAGTGGGATAGGTACCTCTTCAGCTTTATATCGATATATAGTTAGAGAGAAGAAGCGAAAGAGAGATATATTTTTATCTACAAATGGTAATGAGACGAAGAGATAAATAGATAATCAGATGTAATTAGAAATATATTATATTCATATGTATATATATGTACAATTAAAAATACAGACACATACACATTTTTATATCCATACCTTATATTTTACCAATTATATTTCTCACTAATTTTCCTTTTTCCGTCTATCTCTAATATTCCGATGCATCATAAAATTTATGTTTTCATTTTAAATCCTCAATTCAAGCTTCATATTAATTAAATAATTAACTCGAATTCGCTGCAATGAAAAGCGAGTTTTCCCACGAGAAAGGTCTCGCATAAGCATTGCATATTTTTGCCACCTTCGGCCAAAGTGTTGCATACTTTCGTGGCAACATGAAAAGCCCCTTTCATGAAAATTCCGATTCCATTTCCGTTTGGGGCAAATTGGGGGACGTGCCTACACAATTTCAGTCGAAGCATTTGTCTGAGCCACGCCCACATAAATATGACGCCCACAGGGCAGCTAATGCCGTGCAGCATGCTAAATCAAAGTACAGTGGGACAATGTTAAGACGAACATTCACTTCTCAATTCAAAGAAATAGCATTTTTTAGCATTTTACTTATATTACTCGTATATAATTTATATATAATATTTTATTTCGTCTTTCTTATGGTAGTGTGAGCTTATTAGCGAAGTTCTACTGTAATTTGCATATGGATTTGTTCAGACTAGTTGCCAAAGGACCAGCTGGTTCTATTATATCCTGATTTAACTAAACACGCCACAACTCTGTAACTATCTCTCTCTCTCTTTCTCTCTGTCTGCCATTTTTCATTGAGTTCAGCTCCAGTTTCACCTTTTTTTTTTTTTTGTTTAGATTGGGGTCGTTTGTAATTGCAGCGCTTAGGTGAAATGCTTCAAATGCTCACATATCCTCTCTTCTTTTGCTAAACACTTCAAACTGCCCTCGTCCCGCCCGCCCGTTCAGCCCTTTGTCGATTGCGTGCAAACATTTCAGTGTGCCACAAAAGAATTTCTCGCTTTAGCTGAAAGTGAATTTTCTTATGCAAACGGTTTTAACGGCCTTTCTCTGCCTACCTTAAAGGGAAAAGGTAAAGCACCAGGTGCTTGCACTAAATCATTGAGACGAGCGTGAGGAGCAAGCAGAACAAACTCAAATAGTTGAGCAAGTAGGCTGAAAAGGGTTACATATGAAAATCAAAATACTTTAAGGATATTGCGTAGAAAACATTAACTCTCTCTCTAGCTCTAGCTTTGTCTCTGTCTCTTTCTGACTTCATTTTGCAGTCTCTTTCACTTATTTCTCTGCTTCTATTATTTGTGTTTTTGATCTCTCTCCTATCTATCTCTTCAATCTCACCTTCTCCCACTCTGCGTTTCAGCCACTTCTTCCCTGTTTATTTCTCCATTTCTGTCACCTTCTCTCTTTACTCTTTTTCTGTATGTCTCTGTATCTACTATATTCCTCCCTCTCAATCTCCCTTTCTCGCTCGCTCTCTATCTTTATTCCTTCTTGATCTACTTTCTCTTTCTATCTCGGCTTGCTCTCTGCTCATTTTTTTTCATTCTCTGTACATTATGTCTATCTATTTCTCCTATCTAAAGTACAGTAAAGTATAAAGTAAAGTACATTGCTCCTCCCTCCCTCTCTCTCTCTCTGCCTTTTCTCTGTCATATCTGCATCTGCTTCGTCCAGATGCCAAATGTATTCTAATTGTGTTGCCCTACTCCCAAATCCTTCACTTAAATTATGCATAGACAGAGGAGACTTCTCATATCTCGCATTTGTCTGCATTGATTATGGAAATGCTTTTCCTAGCTTACCGTGAGGAAAGGGGAAACTTTTGACTACAATTGAACAGCATATGGATTATAAAGAACATAGATATAGGTCTGTAGAACCGCAGAGTGTGTATTTGGTTGACAAGTGCAGTGAGGGGCTTATAGATCGGCTAATGATATGCCAAGTTAGCTTATTATATATAGACCAAATGCTATTTCAAATCGAGCAAATCGTTACGTGAGATTTGACATGACATCACTGCACACAAATCATCGGCTCTATCTTCCGCATAGTCTTCAAGCCACACTTAGAGAGCGAGAGGGGGAGAGAGAGGGGGCATAGGGGGTAGCTAGGTCGGGTGTAATTGTATATATGCAATATGTCTTTATTGTGGCTTACCACGTTTTGCAATAAACGTAATTCTATATAGCCCCCATATACGACTGTCTATGCCCGCATACATACACACACATATGTATGTGCCACCCACTGGTTGAGATTCTCTTCGAGTCGCGTCTCTCGCTGGCAAATCCTCAGCTTGAAAAGGAAGCCCGCGAAGTGCTTAGGGTCAAGCGGCGAAGAACTAGCTAAACTAGTTATTCGCGCGCCCCGGCTCTGGTCAGTTGACAGTTAGCTGCTTGTTAGCCCTCGCCACGCCCCATTTGGCATACACAGCCGCTGCCCCTGACATAGTGGAGTCAAGTATATCAAAAAATAGAGACGGATTCATTCATTAGAACAAAGACCCATGCTTGATAAGCGAGTGTCGCCGCATTTTGCGGGCACATTCAGCGATCGCAGCTCGGCTGGGCAGTGTTGGTAAGCGTGTTGGTTAACTGTCTGATGTGAATGTAATGCAAAACCTTACCACAACCAGCGCAGGGGCCTAGCCAGGGGAGGGCAGGGGCAGGAGGGCTGGGCCCCTCGATCTCTGAGGCGTTACACAAATTTATAAAAACTGAGGCATTAGCAATGCGATTTTCAGTGCACCATTTGCAAATGTTCGTTGCGGTCGCTGCGACTGGCGAAGAGTGTGAACAGTGCGTGTGCGTGTGTGTGCATGTATGTGTGTGTGTGCAGGATAACTGCCAGCAATCGAGCTACCCCATGTGATACCCCAGACACCAGCCAGAGGCAACAGTGCTGAAGTAATATGCAAAAGGCCGACAAACAGGCAAAAGCAGAGCAGGCGCAGACAGGCAAGAGTAAAGCGAAAGCGAAAGCGAAAGAGAAAGAGAAAGTGAAAAGAGACGCAGCAACATCAGAAGGAGAAGGAGAAGGAACAGGAGGAGCGGAAGCAGCAGTAGGAGGAGCAACAGCTGAGCAGGATCTGGAGCTAGAATCGCCAAAGGCCAAGGCACGTTCGCGTTTCTCAGCCGCCTTTCGCAGTCTCAAGACCAAGAAGCAGGAGAAGGAAAAGCCAAAGCCCAGCAGCGCGGAGCAGCTGACGGCCATCAGCAGCGGCGAGGCCGAGGATCTAACCAGCCTGGGCGAGATCAGTCTGGACAGCGGGCTGAAGAGCAGCCAAAAGAAGAAGAGTCTAACGCGTCGCCTGCTGCTGGGAAGTCTGAAGCCAAAGACCAAAGAGCGACCGCACAGCCTAGCGACGAGCGATGAGCTGAGCCTAAAGAGCAGCAGCAGCGCCAGGGAACGGGAACGGGAAAGGGCACTGGGCACGGGACTGGGATTGGGCAGCAGCAGCAGCACACTAAAGATAACCATAAGCGGCAAGAAAGTTGAGACTGTCGAAGTCAAAGGCAGAAGCGAGACGGATTACCTGACACCGATACCGACACAGACGGCAACAGAAGAAGCGGCAGCCGCAACGGCAACGGTAAAGCCAGCGACGACAGCAGCGACAGCGACAGCGACAAAAGAGACAGCTAAGCTAATTGTGGCCAAGGTGGTGTCCAAAGAGCAGAGCAAGCTGAAGAAGCAGTCGAAGCAGACGAAGCAGCCGAAGCAACAGCTGAGAGCAGCGCCTCAGGTTGAGGAGAAAATCGTTATCACAGAGAGCAGACGAGATACGCCGCCGCGCGAACGAGCGCCGGCAAAGCCGAGCCGCGCAGCGAGCAATCAGTCAGCCAACAGCGCTGGGGAGCAGCACAGGTCGAGCAGTGCCAGCAAAGCCCTAAGCCTGCCCAGCCGTGAGAAGCGTGCATTGATGCAACAGCAGCAACTGCAGCAGCAGCAGCAGCAGCAGCAGCAGCGTGGACATCGTTTGAATAAAGGCAGCAATACGGCAGCTCTGGAGAAAGAGGCGCTAGTGACGCCGCCCAGTTCGGAGTTGCAGCCAGCGCCGGCTCCTGCCAGTTCCACGCCCGAATTGAGGCCATCCTCGGCGCCCACCTCGTCCACCCTCGTCCTGGTCAGCCCGGCGGAGTCGTCGGACGCCGTCTCACTAGCCGAATCAGCCCAGACATCAGTTGCGCCTGTCGTGCGCTTTGCCGTTGGCAGCGCGGTCCGCGGCCCGGACGCCTACGAGCTAGCTCTAGCCGCCGCAGCCAATCAGCAACCCAGCTCCAGCGAGGAGCCCAGCGATTCCAGCCTGAGGCGCTTGAGCTTCAAGCAGCAGTTGGCTCTATCGGATCACGACAGCATCGAGGGCAGGCGCGAGACGGTGCGCTACCAGTCGGTGGCCAGCGAGTACGGCGAGGATCAGGACACAGGCGACGAGCAGGAGCTGGACAGAGACTCCAAGCCCATGCCGGCCTTTGGCAATTTGACTATGGACCAGGAAATGGAACCGGTAAGCTGTGCATTGGACTCAATCGCAGCCGCAGTTCGAAAAAACAAGCAAAAGAAGCCGCAAAAGTGTTTGCCCCCTATAGTCGGACATCGGACATCGGACGTCGTACGTCAGACATCGTACGACCCCGCGAACCGAGCAGCTAACAACAGCTCTACCTCCCTTCCCCAACCCCTTCCCTCTTTAAGTGTTCGTTTATCAAGTGTAAAGAGAACGTCTTTTTACAATTTATTTATGACTGTGATGAAGCGCTAGGATTTCCTTGAATGTACCCCTATGGGTCTCCCAGAATGAATCACTACAATCTTATGCTCATTCGCGCAGTGGAAAGCGAGTATATTCGTTAAATCGTGTGCAATGGGGAATTATTGAAATGTATCACGGATTTGTATAGGATTGGATGCCTATCCATATAGCTATGCCTATTGAGGCCTACATCGAGCTTAGTTATTAGTAGAGTACTCTGCAGTCGAGTATGCCCTTTTTTCTCGCTCTCTTTTAACCTCTACCCGTCTCATTCTCTCTCTTTTCAGACCATAATGTCGCCCAGTGGCGAGAAGCGTGAACATCTCTACAAGATCCTAGTGATCGGTGAGCTGGGCACAGGCAAAACATCGTTCATCAAGCGCTACGTCCATCAGTTCTTTAGCCAAAACTATCGAGCGACAATCGGAGTGGATTTCGCATTGAAGGTGCTGCACTGGGATGCCAATACGATAGTGCGCCTGCAGCTCTGGGATATCGCCGGGCAGGAGAGATTCGGCAATATGACGCGGGTCTACTACAAGGAGGCGGTGGGCGCTTTCATCGTCTTCGACGTGACGCGCAGCGGAACCTTCGACTGCGTCAGCAAATGGAAAGAGGATCTCGACTCGAAGGTTCAACTACCCGATGGCAGTCCCATACCCTGCATACTGCTCGCCAATAAGGTACAGTSTGATTGATTGATTGATCGAGTTTAAACAATGTGATAAGAATTTGATCTAGTGATGATCTGTTAAGGGTTTCGATTAAGACTGTAAGATGTTGCTTTTTTACTATAGGGAATTGATTATTGTTGAGATGGATTGATCAGATGGATCAGTCAGTGCTGATTGATTGACCATCAACAGATGATGCTATCCTTTACTTATTGATCAGATCAATTTCACACTTTAGTCCTATGATCTGTCTTATCGAGTGATCTACTATATAGATCTTGTATATTTCTGATATGTCGATATATGATTTCTTATATCTTATAATTTATAGTGCGATCAGGAGAAGCAGGGCATTGTGACGCAGCCGGAGCGCATGGATGAGTATGTGAGGGAAAATGGTTTCGCTGGCTGGTTCGAGACCTCGGCCAAGGAGAACATCAACATCGACGAAGCAGCGCGTGCCTTGGTGAACAAAGTAAGTGATTAGCACGGTTAATCTATCATTCAATCAATCAAATATATTAATTTTATCGATCATTCACAGATACTCATCAATGACAAACTGATAACTGCCGATGCGAATGATGCGGAGAAATTCAATTTGAGTGCGGCTGATGCGAGCGCAGAGACCAAGAACAAGTGCTCCTGCTGACCGGTTGCTGCGTTCATCCAGATGCATTCCAGCAATCAAATTGGGCTTTAAGCATACACACACACATTTATAGAAACATGATAAGAATAACTATGCTTAGGTTCTTTTGTAAAGTGTGTCTAAGACTTAGCTTCGTATCATGTTCATCCATCAACTGGTTATAAAATCTAAGCTAAAGCAGTGCGTGTCCATAAAATTATCTATATGACTATATGACACACACTCACACACAGACACACACATTTATATATATATAAGCTAGAGCTCTGTTTTGAGATAATGCAGCATCATTTCTACATTTGTGTAAAATACGAATCGTCGTCCAATTGTTTTTTTTACTTTTGTTTGTTTATTGCTTTTGTTTTGTTAATGTGAGAGTTTTTTATCTTGAATTTATATAGTAAATAGGAACACACACACATACATACATGAACATACATAAACTCTGCCATCTTTATTTGCATTTAGATAATGTACGTTTTATTCAACACAGATTAGAGCAGAATGAAAAAAAAGTAATACATTTATTTATCTGCACGCAATCAAATAAAAATGTTTAATGTTAGTTAAGCCAAATGATATACGAGTTTTATTGTTAGAGAAATAAACTTAATGCCTATGACCTAGGCTGCCGACTTAATGCGCATTTATTTACAAGCTGCGAAAATGCAAATAATATTAATTACACATATATACACGAAGTGCGCAAAAGCTATGAAAATTAATGTGCATTTAATTTTTGGCGCGCACATTTCTCTAAACTATCGATATGTTATCGTATGAGTGCATTGAGTAAGCCCTGCCCAAAAGGATTGTGCTGATTGATAATGATATTCTTAAAGCTTATAACCCAAAACTTAGCTAAGGCTTATATACAATTGCTACAAAAATTTAAAATGTTAACATATAATAAAATAATTTATAATTTTGTGTCCCTTCATTATATGGCATGATTAGCTGATAATTCAGTTATCGCTGCAGCCCTGGTATATTTTAGTAGTGATTTTGATGATTTACCACGCTGGTCACATTGCATTTGCTGCTGTTGTAAAAAAAATGCAAATGCAAAAATTGCAAATAACTATAAAGAGGAATATTCATAGAAATAAAATAATAAACAATAATTTGTAAAACTAAAGTGCTAACAATTGAAATGTATTAAATGTTTAAGGTGAGCTATATAATGTTGCGACGCAACATCGACATCAGCAGCAACAGCTACAGCACTTAAGCTAATTAGCAACGCCGCTGATTCTGATTGGGAGTCGTAGCCGTCGACGTCGACGTCGTCGTCACGTTTACTCCCCTTTTCGGTCTTTGTTGCTCTCATTCGTGGGGCCGTGGTTATTGATAAAGGTTTACTCAATGGCTCGTTGATTAATCAGCAGTCAATTTCTTGAGTTAGACATTTCCAGCAATGAATCAGCTGTGCCGCCAATCGAAACTAGCATAAACACCTAGTAATGTATGCATATTAGCTTATCTCACTTTCTGTCTCTCTTTCTCGCACTCTCTTGCAGTTTTGTTATCTAGTTTGAGTAAAATAATTGGAAACGGAATTGGTTGAAATTCTTGAAGTTCTTGGATTGCTCGGAAGATGCTGCCGCCACGTGAGCATTTGGATCTGGAATGCTTCATTGTGACGAAGCATTCGTGGAAGGGCAAATACAAGAGGATTCTATCCATTGGTACCAGTGGCATTTCCACCTACAATCCAGATAGATTTGACCTAACCAATCGCTGGACCTACTCGGATATCGTAGCCGCCGCGCCCACCAAGACCTCAAATGTAAGTATAAATACATACATACATACATACATATTAATAATTCGCATTGCAGATTCCAAATGAGTTTGTATTAACAATAAAGAAGGATAAGAAATTGGATACGATCAAACTTTCATCGGAGTATCGCAATGATATACTCAGCTCCATATTGAAATATTACAGGGAATTCGCTGACAAGCCCAAAAATGCTCTCGTAAGCTGATTCACATTTCCTAAATATTTGCTTGAGTGAAATGTTTCCTTTGCAGCGCTTCAATGCTTATAAATATCATTGGTCGGGCATTAGTTTGCCCACTGTGCTGGAGGTCACGCCCTGCTCATTGGATCAATTGGATCCCACAACGAACGATGTGCTCACTAGCTATATGTACAAGGATATTGAAGGAATAATAGGTACCTATAGCACCCTTCTCATTCCTCCGCTCCTGCTGCTCCTTCGATTGTATTTGGCTTTCCCTTTGCTTTTGCTTTGACATTGATTCGTTCTTTGGATCTGCCTCAAATTTAGCTTTGTTTTAAGCTTTACTTCTGCGTTTGGCTATCCTTCTCATCTTTATCCTATCAATGTTCAATGTTTCCTTGTCTGGGTTTCACATTATAATACGTGTTCGCTTTGCTTGTTTTGTTTTTTTCTTCTTTTTTGTTTTACACTCATCTTTATGGTTTCTCGTTTACGCGCACCTTTTAAGCAGGCATCTCGGACTATGAAAATGGCATTGTGATGGCCTACGGCGGCTTCAGTCGCCTGCATATGTTCAAGGCGCTCAATCACCATGAGATCGTGCAGAACATCGTGCAACGCTCGTCTCAGTTTCTGGGCATCGAAACCAAAATACTCAAAAGTCAAATAACACGGGAGCAATTCGAGCGAGAGCGCTTCGGCAAGTACAGGTGAGTGTGATGGACTGATAGAGAGAGAAAGAGAGAGTGAGACTGATCAAAGATCGTTGGATGATGCTCTCCATCTCTTGCAGCGGTGATCAGTTCCAGACATCGATGACAGAGTTCACAGTGCAGAAGATAACGCCCAGGCATCCGGATCCAGTCAAGCGCATTCTCTGCCTCACAGAGGTCACGCTCCTGGAGCGCGACCCGCAGACCTACAGCGTCTGCACGCTGCGACCCCTCGCTGACGTCTTTGCCCTGGTGCGCGATAAGGACAATCTGCAGCGCTTCTGCATCGAGTATAAAAATGGCATCGTGCGCAGCTACAGCACCAACGACCGTGACTCTCTGCTGGCCACTGTGCTGGACGCCGTGCGGTCCAGTGGCAACCAGGATGTGCACATACGCATTGGCAACACGCCGAGGGGCAAGCGCTACGTGCCACTCAATAGCTCAGTGGACGAGGAGACGGAAGCGAATCTGCTGCGTTTGGTTATCAACAATTTCCAGAATCCGAGCAAACGCTACGAGATTCTCGAACGCTTCAATGCCAATGTGCCGCACAGTGGACTCAACTACAGTGTTACCCAGGATGTGAGCTCAACTCGACTTGATTTGTGATATTTATACTAATTGTGCATATCTCCCGACAGAGTTTATTTGCGGAGAACAAGGAGAAGCTAATACTGAGCGCTCTGCAGGCTTTGGCTCAGAAGGAGCTGGACAGTCCGACGGCTCAGCTGAGCAACACCGAGCTGGAGGCAATATTCCATGCGCTAACGCGCCTGCTGGCCAGCAAAGTGGGCTACGCGGCCTTCACCAACTTGCCAGGGTACGGGATTTGCTTACCATAGATCGTCCAATCATATACAATCTGTTTCTTGTAGCTTTCGGGAGATAATTGGCACCAAGATTGTGGCTGCACTGCGGCGCAAGGACCTGGCTGTCACCTACTCGGCGATCGACATGATCAACTCGCTGATGCACTCGGTGAATACGGATCACGACCTCAAGCAGGAGCAACTGAACAAATCTTCCATTTTGTCATCGAAATCATTTCTTGAAACGCTGCTCAATATGTGGACCATGCATGTGGTAAGAGACGCTGAGACAACAAGAGAGAGGGAGAGCTGGAACAATGGATTTCCATTGTTGTTTCTCAGTCTGAGCAAGGCATGAACTAAAGTCGCATTCTTTTCAATTACAGAGCCACGGCAGCGGCGCATTGGTTTTGTCTGCGATGCTCGACTTCATGACCTTCGCTCTGTGCGTGCCTTACAGCGAGACGACGGACGGCAAGCAGTTCGATATACTGCTCGAGCTGGTGGCGGAGCGTGGCAGATCGTTGTACAAGCTCTTCCAGCATCCATCGCTGGCCATTGTCAAGGGGGCCGGCTTGGTGCTGCGCGCCATCATCGAGGAGGGCGAGCTGCATGTGGCGCAGCAGATGCAGGCGCTGGCGTTGGACGAGGCGGCGCTGTGTCGTCATCTCTTGGTGGCGCTCTACACGCCCTCGAATGATCCCACTCTGATAACGCATCGTCAGCTATCGAGGCATCTGATTGGCCTCTGGCTAACAGACAGCGACGAGGCAATGGAACTGTTCAAGCGCATTTTTGTGAGTCATACGAAAATGATATATCTCTCACATGTTTTGCTTAACTTGATCTCAATTACAGCCAGCTGGCTTGCTGACCTTTCTGGAGTCAGAGGAGAGCGTCCCGGAGGCGGATGTGGAGGAGGACAAACTCAACTTTCGCGACAATCTCAAATTTGCAATTCAACATTCCAAGAAAACGCGCAAGAATGCGATAGAGAAGCATTTGCAGGGCATCAAGCACTGGGGCATGAACCTCATCGAGCAGCAGGATGGCGCGGCCCAGGCACTCAAAAACCGTCCCGTCGTGCTGCGAAATCGCCGACAGAAGAAGAAAACCTCGGACGCGATCGTTAACCTGCCCTACTTCTTCTACAACTTTGCCAAAGATCACAGCTTGCCTAACTTGATATGGAACCACAAGGTGGGAGACCTTTAGATATTTATGAATCTGTTCAGTTACTCACTTTGATTTCAATGCAGACTCGCGAGGAGCTGCGCATGTGCCTGGAGAACGAGCTGAGGCAATTCCTCAACGATCGCGACCTGGCTGGCAACATGATCGTGGCCTGGAACTATCAGGAATTCGAGGTGGGCTACCAGTGCCTGGCAGAGGAGATCAAAATAGGCGACTACTACATAAGACTCATACTGGAGAAGGATGATTGGCCACAGAACTTGGTCAAGGATCCGTAGGTTCAACAGCTATTTATATAAGGTCTTTTGACTAACCTCTGTTTCCATTTCCAGCGTCGAGCTGTTCAA